TTTTAAGATCACATTTGACCTGCAGCCGATTTGGTCAGACTCTGAAGATGAGACTACACTGACTTCCGAAACTGTCAATACCAATGAGCAAGCTTTTCGGTCGGCAGCTGTGACAGAACACCTAAACAACCTGGAATTAGCCAGAAATGAACTGAATACCATTCGCCGAATGGGCTATAAAATGCTTTACAGACTGGCTGGAACAAAACAACAATATTAAACTAGCAAAAATTGACAAAACAGCTAAACTTCATATTGCAGCAGTTTTATGGCTCAGTCCGATTTGGTCAGAAGAAGATGAGACTACACGTTTGGCAAATGGCATTCGGTTCATGTCTGGCTAATTCCAGGTTGTTTAGGTGTTCTGTCACAGCTGCTGACTAAAAAGCTTGCTCAGTGGTAATGACAGTTTCGGAATTAATGCAAGGAGCTGGAGAAGGAACTGCTGGCTGCAGCAAGTGAGTGGAGTTCGTTACTCCAGCGTAGCAACAAGCTGCTTGTTAAGGAACTATAATTTGGCAGAAGAAATTGCTAACATTAAAACATTTAAATGCCACGTTCACTGCCCAATTTATTTATTCCTTACTTTATTTATTTAACTGTTGTATAAAAGTAATAGAACACTCAATCGTGTTATCGCGATAACACACTCCCTCTCGTATGGCTTAAATAACAAAAACGGAGATGTTTCTGATGAGGATTTGTTCTGACAGCAGCGATACATTCTTCTAATTTCTTCAGTATGTCTTTTTCAACAAGAACCAAAAATTCAGATTGTCACATATAACTTTAATGACATTTATAAAGCATAAAGAGTTGCTTGGAAACAACTTGAATTTGCTGCTAAACTCTATCAAAGTAGTAAGTGAAGTTATGTACCGCAAATCATATGATGAACTTTCTAATAATTTGACTACACAACCCAGATAAGTTGCTGCTGTATCATGAAGAGACATCCATGGCTGCTTTGATGCTTTCTCTTTAATGAGAAAAGCTTTGTAATTTTTCCCCTCCACCATGTGGATGTAATTTACACTCTATTTTTGTCATTCCCTTGTTCCCTGTAATTTTTCTGTGGAGAAACATAAGACTTCAATTTGCAAATGCGCATTATCACAATGTTTGAACCACTTCTTTGCGGCAGTTTAAATCTCTCTCTCTCTCTCTCTCTCTCTCTCTCTCTCTCTCTCTCTCTCTCTCTCTCTCTCTCTCGTTTGTGTGTGTGTGTGTGTGTGTGTGTGTGTGTGTGTGTGTGTATATATAAATACACAGACACACACACACAGACAGATCAGGCATAACATTATGACCACCTCATTGTCCATTTTATCAGCTCCACTTACTATATAGGTGCACTTTGTAGTTCTACAATTACAGACTGTAGTCCATCTGTTTCTCTGTGTATTTTGTTAGCCCCCTTTTACCCTGTTCTTCAGTGGTCAGGACCCCATGGACCCTCACAGAGCAGGTACTATTTGGGTAGTGGATCATTCTCAGCACTGCAGTAACACTGATCCACTCATACCGGCACAACACACACTGACACACCACCACCATCACCACGTCAGACACAGCAGTGCTGTGTTTTTAAACACCTCAGTGTCACTGCTGGACTGAGAATATGGATACAGTGTTTGCTGCTTGAAGTTTTTAAACACTGTGTCCACTCACTGTCGACTCTATTAGACACTCCTACCTTGTCAGTCCACCTTGTAGATGTAAAGTCAGAGACAACAGCTCATCTTCTGCTGTAGTTTGTGTTGGTCATCCTCTAGTCCTTCATTAGTGGTCACAGGACGCTGCCCACAGGATGCTGTTGGCTGGATATTTTTGGTTGGTAGACTATCCTCAGTCCAGTAGTGACACTGAGGTGTTTAAAAACTCCAGCCGCACTGCTGTGTCTGATCCACTTATACCAGCGCATCACACACTATCAAACCACCATCACATCAGCGTTACCGCAGTGCTAAGAATGATCCATCACCCAAATAGTACCTGCTCTGTGAGGGTCCATGGGGGTCCTGACCACTGAAGAACAGGGTAAAAGGGGGCTAACAATGTATGCAGAGAAACAGATGGACTACAGTCTGTAATTGTAGAACTACAAAGTGCACCTATATAGTAAGTGAAGCTGATAAAATGGACAATGAGCATAGAAACAAGGAGGTGATCATAATATTATGCCTGATCGGTGTATATGTATAAAATATTCAGTATGTCATTCTTTCACCTTTTGCAGCTTTCATTCTTTGTGGGAGACTTGCCTTCATTTTTTCAAGAAAATCTGCAGAGATTTTTTTTTTTCCCACATCTCCAAGGTTCAGTCTTAAAAGATTGTTTGTTGCTTTTCACGATCCATTGGCCATTTTGAGTGGAAAAGAAACAAATGAAGGGTGTTTAGAACCATTTCAGTGCAAATACACCATACTGGTCAAGGAAGATACAGAAAACAAAAATTTAATGCACGACTCAATAAACACATCATAGTTCTTGAAGCCTTCAAGGATTTGGACTTTGTACAAATAATATACAGGTCCTTAATTCTGTCAGCATCAGAATTATAAAACAGATGGAACAGGTAAACAAATGTAATAAACAGAACATTCCTTAAGCACTGTAGAAGATGAAATGATCGCAAGATTTTTCTACAGAACCACAGAATCAAAGCAAATCACACATTTCATCTGTCCTATCTGAATCCACACACTTTGGACCTTAGTTTGCTATATTATGAGCTCTGACAATTGTGTGGCTGTGTGCTCAGAACTCAAACACTTTTAAATAATGTGATAAATATAGATTTCTGTGCCATATACATTTAAATAAATATTTTCTATGTACAGCTTCACAACATGGACGAACACAGAAAAAAAATAAAAATAAAAAAAACACCTTTGGACTTTGTAGATACAGATGATGTGATTGAAATCGGTCCAGGCCTTGTAAAACTTATTTCTGCTGAAGACATAAGAACCAAATGGATTAAAAAAGTGACAGCAGCTTTTCATTTTATGGCAATAAAGGTGTAAGTGAGGACAGAATAGTGTTCATAATTGCACCTTGTTAGTGGACTTTACTGACACTACGATGATGAACATTACACCGATCAAAAAGAAATCAAAGTAGTTCTGCCAAACCTCAAGATATATAGTCTACAGGACTATGGCCAACAAATCTGATACAGACACTGACCTCAGCATAAATGGGAGTTCTACTGAACTATGGAACATATATATGTTTGTATCTTCATCTTGTCAGTTATAACATTAATACTAAGCTGGAGGAGTTTATCCAAGCTTTCTGTCCACTGCTTGTCATAGTTCCTCTTCCATCTGTATGAAGCAATTGTTTGAGCATTTTCGCTAAGCCCATTGAGTGCACCGTATGTTGGTGTATTGCAGATGTTTGAGAGTATTGACGATAGCACTTTTCTTTGGAGTAACGGTTGTCTGATGTTGGCGTCTGGTGGCTGCCTGACCCACTTACCGAAAAAAGAGCGAGAGGGGGAAAAATGCTCAGACAAAGCAGCTGAGAGGTAACTCCCATGCTGTGAATTTCAAAAGACGATTGAGCTTCTCACACCTTTTAATGGAGGTATAGATTTGGCATCACTGGGCTTTAATAAGGGGGTGCTTGTATGAATATCTGTACACTTCTAAGATATGAGAACTACAATTAAATTGACTTGGAAGTCAAGAAAGCTTTGGTGTGAGTGTGAGCAGGAATACCAATAGGCCTGTATGGCATCTGGTGATTGGTTAAGTCTAATTTCAGAAGGTTAATGTGTTTGATTCAGCCCTGACAGCCATTTTAATTGTTGGCTTCTTGCCGCTCAATCTGAATGTGGCTGTTTGAACTGCTTTGCGTTAAAGTGCTATAAATAAAGAGAAAAATCTCATGAAGTGTATCCAGGAGAGAGAAGAGAGCTTTGCTTTGTGAGGCTTCAGCTCGTGATGCTGAATCAAATCCTCACATGCCCCTTAGCCACTTTCACATTTGATGCCAAATGGTTCCATTTGACAAACCAACAATAGCTCAAGCATCTCCAACAATCCCTGCCACCCTTTTCATCTGTCCTTTTATAAGACCAGAGCTCTAAACTGACGTACAGTTTAGACTACAGTCATAGCAGTACAGTGATCAAAAATGAAAGCATACATGATGAGTTTCCTCTTTAATTGGAGAAATTCTGGTTAATCCTTCATTTGCAGTGCCAGCCGACAAACAAGATGATTCTATTTTCCATATATTTCCATGTTTTTGTTTTGCCAGCAATTTGGGTCACATTTTGACACCTATTCTGGTGATAACCAAAGGCTGCAGACACATTAAAACAAATTTGCTGTGACTGCATCCCCACGCCAAAGTGGATGCGCCTTCAATTGAAGGGCGATTGATTTCAATTGTCAATAAAACGTCTAGAACCAACATAATCACATAAAGCTTGATGCGGATGATTGTAAAGGCCAGATTACTGGGTGTGAAACAAAACCACCCTTCTATTATCATATGCAGTTGAACTTGACCAACATATCAGTTTGCTGGTGATATTGCCTAATATTGCTGGTCTGCAGTTTTATCAGTGTCTGTGTTAAAACATAATGCTCTGATAATTACTGACTTTTTTTGGTCACTGTATTGCGGAGATTCAACCTAGCAATCTCCAGTGGTAAGGCAGAATGTCAGATGGTTGCACCATTGGGTAACCTAATGACTGTTGTTGAATATGAACACAAAACATAATCATGGTTAACATAACAAAAACGTGTAAAATATCCTGATCTTAAAAAAATAACATTTACACATTTTTTATGTAGAGATTTAAAGGAAAAAGAGAAACAGAAAACTCAACTAAAGATTTATGGGAAGTTTTACCACCAGTGCAAATGGTATTTACATTATTTAAGTTTTACATTATTTAGGTTTGTTTAAATTTAAGGATGGTAACCATTGAGAACACAATCATAATCAAAATTATATCAGCTGCTATCATTGGTTATTCAATTATATTGTCAAATTTTAACCCCTAAAATTACTATTGGTGACAAAATGTACATATCAGTGGGGTAATTACTACAATTTTCTACAAGTCTACCTTAGTGTTGCCAGATTACACAATGAACATGGCAGGTTGCTATATTGGAGTAGGATGTTTCGGGGTCTAGTTCAATCCATAGCACAGTGCACATTCTAAGCATGTTCACCTAAACAAAGCACATTAGAATTCTAGGGGAGTAGTAGCACAGCTTTAGGTCGTATGTCAGCATTTCTTCAGTGCTTTTCTTCATCTGTAATGGCCACAGTTGACTGTGTGCGTCACAATGACTAGATTTAACTAGAGTTAATGTAGTCAGTTTAAAGTATTTAGCAATAAGCAGTCACAGGCTTTGATCAATAGTGGCTCAGGTATTGCATGGACATAACATTTATGACCAGTTATGTTGGTCTATGAAACTCAACTTATCTCAGCCCATTCCAGGCAGATTTCTGCTTGGAAGTGGTGAATCAGACTGATAGCTTGCTAGTGCAGGGGACATATACTTTGCGAGTTACTCCATTTGCAAGGACGAATAGCGTTGGCAGAGAAATGTAAGCACCAATCAAAATCTGTCAGAGCTTCTGTAGAAATAAAATTAGCACGGACACAGAAATTGGACGGGATGGCCTAACTTTTGTGGTTGCAGTCAAGGGCTTGTTTCCTAAGAGCATCGTAGTTGTGTTATGACATTCATTTGAAAGAGTGAAAGAGCGCTCTTTACCATTTTACATTGCTTCTTGCTTCTGGGTAGGGCTGTATTGATACCTTTTTATTTATTTATTTATTTATTTATTTATTTATCTATCCCCCCTCCCCCCCAGACAGAGTATGAGTATGAGTTTGAGTACGTTTTAGTATTCGCTGATAGTCTGATACCATAATGAACTACATACTTCGAGTTGTAGTTATTAGTGCGAATGAGTGCAGTGTACCTTAACAGTTAAATAATTAAATTCTAGCTGATTGAGTTCAATGACATGCATTAGCTAGCTGTGCTATAATAATTATCCTTGATTGAGAAGGTTGCAGTGGCGAAGGGCGAGTTTAGTTCCACATCAGAAAAGTACTTCTGTACAGCAGTGTGTTTCATAAGTTTGGCCCTTGCTCCTCATCTGTGTCAACAGCGGTCTCTGTAGCACAGTGACAGCAGGAGTTACATCTGTGGGGCTCACTTTTTGTGTTGAGGTCTTTTTGGCTGGTTGACCTGTAGTTAACTGGCTAACTTAAGCCAGACTTACACTGTACAATTTTAGAAATATTGTTCTTTGGTGACTCACAAGGTCCATGTTACGTGAAATGCAGCCTCTCCAGACAGCTTTGTCTATGGACAATTACCAAAAAAGCGGTTTCATTTAATATAACATGCTGCACCCCAAGTACGGAGCAAACACACTCGGCAGCTCGGCTAACCAATTGGGCATTGTCTGTAGCCTATTTTACAAAGACAGTTTAAAAATCACTGTATTAACCTTTATACCTCTCCACCTATATTGGAAAGTGGTTGAGGTTGTTTAAAAGTGTGTTGTGTGTTTAAAAACGGGCTAAAATCACGCTGTGTATTCCTTGTGGGAATTTGTCAAAGTGGAATGTTTAAAGTTACCGACAGCTTTGTGTCCAACCACCATGGAGTCAGTAACTTTGTGTAAGCAGACCCTCATTCACTGCCAGTCTGAGTCATTTGTTCATCAGCGCAGCAGTGTTCACTCGGCTTATTTGACGTATCAGCTGATGTCAATCGTGAGTATCGGTGGCTCATGAGGTCGAGTACGAGTAAATGAGCACAGTATCAGACTAATAGCTGATATCAGTATTGGTATCAATGGGTCCCTACTTCTGGGGAAGCTCAGGATTTGCAGAATTTAAAGGTTGTTGTCCATATCAGGTTTAGAGTAAGCTACGGTCAGTTCCATTGCTTTATCGTCCATTGTCTTCATTTTTGTTCAGGTGGAAAGTTAACACAGCTTCATATTGCTATTTTGAACACTGTTTTTATCGACTGACTCTGTTCAGTTCATTTTGCTCTTTTCTGGCAAAGAACAACCATTTTGGAAAGTAGCAAATGTGTACAATGTGTGTCCAAACACTGGGCTGATGGTTAGTGAGCTTTGCGGAATGGGACAGTGGCCATGAAAGTGCTGAAAGAACATTTGCTATATTTTTACTGCTTTGTCCAACCAATTAGAGAGAGGCTAAATTGAAGTCTGTTGTTGAACTTTTAGCACTGTGGACAGGACAGACAAGGGGTGTCCAGTCTTTTCTGCAAATGGCTGATGTGGCAAGTTTTCATTCCAAACAAGTTGAAGCACCCCTGATTATACTCCTTAAATCATTTGGTCTAAGTTGGTCTTCAAACAACTGATGATGTATGCTCCTGCATTGTTGGAGTGAAACCCTACAGCCACACCATCCCTTTGTGGATAAGATTGGACAAGCCTGGGCTAGACTACTGAGCTGAAACATGAAGCAGTGGCTGTTGGTTTTTCTGGAAATGTAACTGGAAACAGCAAGAGTTTTGTTAGCTTTAGCAAATACTTCAGTATGTATGCTATCATAGATATGTTTGTCATAGTGGGAAATTCTAAAGACCTATATGTTCATAGAGATGTCACGTAGATATGCTGCTCAAGCACTGTTTAACTATTTGTATATGTAGTACATTCATTTACAACGCGTTTCACCATGTCTTGTTTGATTGCACATTCAAACTAAACCTCTTTCAATGACCTTATCGGGGATGCAGCTTTGGGTTTAGAAGCCTTGTGCCTTTGCCTTTACAGTTCTATTACAAAGGTTTGACTATTGTGGATTAGGAAGGCAAAACTGGTCCTAGGGCTGGATTTACATGATGAAACTTCCATGTTGTGAGTTTCATGCAACATCATTTCTGTGCAATTGACAGTTACATGAAGCAGTTAAAAAAGAGGATGCAAGCTATACATTCAATTACTCTGCTAGTCGAGTATATTAGCAGCTTGTTATTTTTAATAAGTTACATCATTCTTGCTAAACAAATTCATCTGCGGTGCGTTATTTATGTTTGCACGTTTGCAGCATTTTTATCTTCTTTGTATAATTTTGCCATTTGCCATTGCCCTTCCTTTTTCTTTAACTACATGTACATATATTGTTTATCTATGCGTCTATCTGTGGTTCTTTATTATATATTTTTCATGTGTTCTTTGTATGTTAAGCGTTTTAAAATGAATGTTTATGTAATGTTTATAGCTCTCTTCTAGTAATTGCATCCATTGATTCTCAAAGGAATGCTCTGTGTACAACCAGACATCAAGAGAGGAGAAAAGGAATAATGTAGCTCAGTAGATGACAATAAGTGAAGCCAGCTGGTTACAGATACGTTAGCTTCAAGAAAATTGTTTGTGGTCATGGCTCAATGAACTGACACAAACTACAGACCTAGTAAACCGTGTAACAGCAGTCAGGAGGATCTAATTTTAAGTTGCTCAGTATGCTTTTGTTATCCATTACTTTGGGGAACTTGGAGCTTGAAATATCGATTGACATGAGCATGTGGGTTCTGTCAGTTTTGATTGGCTGTTTTTCACAAAACTTGTTTCATGAAGTTGAACTGCTTGCAACTCTTATGGCTGAGTGTCAGATGAGTTTCGGGATACGTACTTTTTAAGTTTCATGCAACTGAAGCTGCATGTAAGTGCTATCATGTGAAGCCAGCCTAAATTACTGTAGAAGGCCAAATGTAATCTGGAGCCATTTTGTACATCTCTGCATCTTACCTTAATATAGTAAAAAAATGGGAAAAAAAACACATGGAGAAGGTGATCCAGAAATCCACAATTAATATGATGATTGTTCTTCTGTCCACAGTAACTGACACTTGTGCTGTCTGCTTGCACAAATTGCAGGTGTTAAATATCCAAATGTTTCAGTTCATATACACAATGCGATGGTTTTTAAGGCTGTTACACAGTGAGAAAATCTGTTTAGACTCAAAACTGCCCACTTCTCTCTGTGTGGTTTGATTATTGTTGAGGGAGCCTTGTCCCCATATCCAACATACTATGTCTTTGCCTAGCCTTGTTTCTCGCTATTTTGTGTTCATCCTGTTAGCTTGCTGGTAATTTGAGAATTTGTATAATGAAAGTGCAGCTAAACTGGAAGCTGGCTGTTTACTGAATACATTCAGTCTGAGCTTCTTAAAAGGGTATGGAATGGAATCCTTCACTTTTTTGTTTTGTACAATAAGCTTTTTATTGTGTTGAAGCCTGTCTTTCTGCTTTTTTGAATGTGCCTTAGAAACCTTCACCTAACCAGGTGGAAAAGCGTTTTATTGATGTCAAAGCTTCTCTCTGCTCTCGTCCCTAGGGTGCTCAAATAGGTTGTGAAGTCACAGGGCTGGGCTGGCCTGGATAACAGAGAGAAGAAAGATAGGTAGAGCTAGTTTTGAAATAAGAAAGGCCTACATTTCCCTATTTGGAAAATACAGATGGCCATTTCCTCTTCAATAAAATAAATACTGGGCACTCCAATAGGATAAATACTTTTCTGATTAATTATATAACTGGCATAAGTCAAGTCTCTGAAAGTGGTATGTCTGTATGGTCTGCTTAGCTTTATGGATTATGTAGCAGTATGCTTAGGTTGATGATCAAACACAGGATGCCCAAAAGATGAGACTTTGGGAACACCTCGGTCATAACGAGTAAGTGATGAGTCAAAGGACTGATTACATGTTTGTAGACACACAATAGTGGACAATGGTGCAGAATCTTTGTTAGTCTAGCAGGCGAGATGTGATCTTAGAACAAGAACCTGTCAAACCTTTGGTGCTGGATTGTGGTGAAGTCCAAGCAGGAGTACGCCCCTCTAAAACCTCACTTCTGAGTTCCTGGTCTTTTAACATCCAGATTACAATCCTACAAAAGCACAAGCTAGCTAGTGAAATGCTATCACAAACTAATGCAACTGATTTTCTGATGCAAATGGAGTCTATGCTTCCATCCACATTTAAATCAGTTTTACGTAGTTATCCCCAGACATTCTCATTATAACATCACAACTGCCTCCATGAGATTACATATTTGTTGACTTCTGTTGAAACCTCAGCACTTAAACTTAATTTGAGCTCTGTCTTTTGAAGATAATATATTGGTTGTCATCTGTGAAAACCTTGAATGATACATTTATGAATGCTTATGAATGAAGAACTGCACAAACACTATGACAGTCTGTGTGTTAGTGTAGTTCCAACTGTCTCAGCTAATCTCTTCTTTCCAGATTGCTTAATTGAATTGTATAAACTTTTTTTTTTATACAATTTGAGGATAAGCTCATGCAACACTTCCTTGCCCAGTCTGTCTGATAACTGATTGACTAAACCTCAAAACTGAAGCTGGCAGTGTTGTCTGCATGTTTGTCTACAAATGTGAAATCAGTCCAAATGCTAAGGGGCAGTAGTTTTCAAAAGCAGTAATAGTTTTGTATTTGAAAGGTGGTTCATATAGCTGTCGGATATGTACCTATGGTGACATCATATTTAGGGAGTACTCCAATAACAGCAAAAGATTTAACCCAGATGGACAACAACAAGAGTCTACTATTGATATCAGCATGGGTGGTTTGTTTGGAAAGTAGCCGTTCATGTTGGCCATATAATTTGACACGTTTCTGATCGAAGCTCCCGCGCTTCATTACCCTGATCCAACAGGTCTGCCAGTGAAGCCGAGCCAGCAGCGAAAAGTCCCCCACTGAGAAAAACGTATACGCTCAGGAAAGCAGACTAGGGGAAAAGAAAATGAAATTAAACTTTGATCATGTCTACCTGACAGACTCCACCATAGTGTTTGTTTTGGAGCCTGGCATCTCTGTCCTTTATTCTGCACAGTATGATTGAGTCCAACCCTCTCACATGATCAGAGAGTGGCTCTGCTCCACGTCTGCTTCCACTCATCTGTCCGTTCTCTTCACTGTCCTGCCAGGTGAGCCTTTAACTCTTTGTATACTGGCACCCCATTTGGAGGCATTATTTAGTTGAAGGCCTCATACCCTGTTTGGACCGCAGCTGTTCCCTGGGTTTGCTTGAGGGAGTGGAGGGCTGGCTGTAGTTAGTGAGAGTTGGAGAGGTTGGGGTGTGCAGTAAAAGTAAAGATTTGGTGGTCAAGATCAGTTGAGATCAAACTGCGGATGACTGTTTGATGCTGTGGAAGCTGACCCGAGTGGGAGAGGTGGGGATGGACATGGCCCGGGCCACCCTCGCTCGAATGGAGTGCTTGTCCTGCCAGCGGTGCCAGCGCTTCCGAACTGCTGACCGTACCTGCGGACATACAGATAAACCTGCTGTCAACAACTTCAGTTACTGCAGTACTACTATATTAGAGGCATTAAAATTGCATTGAGGATGCACGATGGGGACAAAATACCATTATAGCTCTTATATTGCTACTGCAACATGGGTTTGATTGTAATACACCTTGTCATATATTGACAGACACATGGTGTCTTTGATGCGAAGCACTGCTCTCTGCTAAAGGTGCCCCTGAATTTTCCACAAGCTAAATATGAGTGGGTGAGTGAGTTACCAGCCAGTTCCGCAAAGTGCTTTGCCTGTAAAAACTCATTAGTGGATCAGTAATTTTACATGGCTTGCATTGTTTTGGCCAAAATCATAATGGATTACATGTATACCTTGATTAATCAAAGCATACACGCAACACTAAACTGGAATTGGTCAAGCTTCATACAGCATACAATTTAAAAAAAAAAAACAAAAAAAACAACAACTTGTAATTGGTCAGAAGGCTCATATGCGTTTGTAGTCTTTAGCACGATCAGTATTGCACAGCCTAATGTGATGATAACAAATGTGCAGGTCTATTTTGTATCTTATCTTTCTGGTAACAAATGTGGAACAAGAAGGGAATATATCAAAGCTCGATCCCATATAATCAAAAAGGGAGGAGAATATGAACAAAGATGGCTCGAAAGATAAATTACTGTGAATTTAGTTCAAGCACCACAACAGACAAGAGGTTGGAGAATGGTTGTGGTTCTCTTTTTGGCTTATTAGATGTCATTTCATAGCTTCTCTCGTCACACATGTTCCATGTGTCTGTTGGTGGGACAGTCCACCTTTTTCTGTCAAATATGAAACATGTATCTGCCCAGGACTCTGAGACCAATTAACTTTGTCAAAGGCCAATTAATGCTTAAAAGTTAGGCAAAGAAAGTGTTGGGCCTAGTCAAGGTGGCTTCTAAAGAGAGGACATAGTGTAGTAAAAGAGAGGACATGCTGCTATATACTTTAATGATGTAGGAAAAGTGTACACACAGGTCTAATGGGTGTTTAATTTTGTGAAGTAGGATGGCATCATGGGAGCAATTATTTATGATAAAATCTGTATCACATCTATTAAGTAGAAATTGAAACATTTATTTTTAGTCTCATTGGGCTGTTTAAATTCTCAATACATAAATTCCATAAAAGAATTCAAATTGTTTTGCTACTGAAAATACGTGCAAGCCAACCTATTTGTCGCATCTGAATAGCACTTATTTTGTTGTTGTTTCATGTCCCAATACTGTACTGTGCAAAAGTAAGAGACCACTCTTGATTTAACTTCCTGTCAAACTAGCCATTAAGTCCTTTATTAATTTACCACTCTGTTTACAAAAAAGTTGGGATGCTGTGCAAGATGTAAATAAAACGGAATGCAATGATATACAAATCATTTAAACCCTTCATTTACTTAAAAATTGTACAAATGTTATATCCAATGTTGAAAGTGAGAAATTTTGCTTTTTGAAAAATATATATAAAAAAAAATTACACATATTACAACAGCATGGCTCTGTAGTAAGAGAGTCAGTGTGCCACCTGCACTGCTGGCCTGCCTGCAGTCCAGACCTGTCACCCATTGAAAACATATATTTTTTTAATATTTTGGAACTTTGAGATATTGAGATATACAATAATCCACAATAGTCCAAAAAGTGATTAAAAGATCTAGAGAAAATGAGACTCCTGACAACTGTGGAATACCTGGTAGCCCACCAAAACTGTCATCAGATAAACAATACTTAAAGCTTATGTCGTTGAGAGACCAGAGAAAAAGTGCTCTTGCTTTAGATCTGAAAAGTCCACAGGTGTTTCTGTCTGTTCTTCCATTTTGAGAAAACATGTTAGTGCTGTGTGTTTGAAAGGATGAGTAGCTGTCAAGAAGCCATTACTGAGTGAGGAAAATAGCGGAAAAAGAACAATTTCTATTCAACAAGCTGCTGGTGTTCTTAGAACAATGAATCCAGACTCGTTTTTTTTGAGTTTGGGGTTATTGAATAGTGAGAAGCAGAAAATGCAACCAACTTCTAGGACGGAACTTTGGAAGTGTGAAAGGCTCCCAAAAAGAGTGGAAAATGTAATATAGAAAAGGTTTTTATTGAAGCTTCTGTGGGTATTTATCTGTAAAATAGTTTTGGCTTTTTTTTCTGACACAGAAAAATGAATAACTTGTGCTTCAGGTCTGATTTGACTAACGTTTGTTTATTCAATGTTCAGTCTCTGACATTTGCACAGTAGTGTGTAGTAGTTGAGTCTATGCGTATATGCTTTACATGAGTCCAGGTCCTGTAATGATGTTGTTTTGATATATTAATTCACAACCGATTCTGATAGAGGGGCTTGAACCTGATCATTCCACAGATGAAGCTGCTAAGACGGTCACTGTCACCGCAACAGAAGATGATCGATCATAAACACAATGTTCCTGAGGCAAAAGAAAATGTGCTAACGTGATGCATTAGATTGGCAGAGGGTCTGTTCAAAATGTACAAGAAAAATTCCATATTTTTAAACATCATTTATATGTCCACATTAATAAGTAAAAGTCTCATGGGCACAATATAAAGAGAAAAAGGGTACTGATTATGTTTCAGGGTATGCTTTTTGGATTGCATTAGTTTCCTATGGGACATCAAGGGAAATGTCAGCTCAATTTCCATGTGACCTTTAAATGTGTCCTCAGCTATTGAGGTCATAATGGAGAATGCACCTATCTGTAAAGCCTGTTCTCTATGGTGAAGGAGATGGTTGACAGATATGTAGGCAGGTAGATGGACACGATCTAATTGTGTTTATAGATGATGCCCTTTTCCTCTGGTTTGTGATCAGTCTGGTCATTTTTCTTATAAGGTCTAGCATTATGATTTGTTCCAGGGGACTGGTCCTAGATAAGCAGAAAAAGGCCAGCTTCTGCACTGAGCTGATCTTACATGTAGAGTCAAATCATTAACATTTAATCATCTGTGATGTATGTCACATGCAGAAATGCCAGCAGATTTAGCATGAAGTTATTTAAACAAGGAGTTAACATAGAAACTACATATACCTGACAGCTTAATCTGACAGTATTTAGAGCCTGTAGCGTGTTTGATTAACTGGATGTGTATCCGGTTGTGTTTAAACATGTTTGAAAGGCACTGGCACAGTGAAGGTATTTAATCAATGAGCTGCCAGTTAAAAAGAAAAGCTCCAGCCCTTTTAAAGGCTTCCATCTCTGCAAATCAATTTGAAGAATGTCATGATAAACATTAACCCGCCTTTGTCTTCATCTAGCTCAATGCACCTCCTAGGACGTCTTGTCTTTGAGACAGTCCACAGAGAAATTTTTCCTGTCACTCAAATGCAGGAGTGCAACTTGAAATTCTCGCCGCCACTTTGCTGTCAGGCTTACAGACACTTTAGATGTAGGCATCACCCCTGCTGGGTGTCTTGCCGACACAATAGTTTGTCTGCTGCCAAATTTTGATACTCTGACTCAGCACCACAAAAGCAAATGGTAGTGGCAATGTACCAGCCAGAAATATGAGCAAACAGTCGGACTGCTTGTCATTAATTACTGTAAGAAGATCAGAAGAAAGGTTCTTGTTATGCTTTGAAATAAATAATAGCATGTCATTTAGCAGATACTTGTAGACTGGGCAGTTTATCAAGAGTATGTTATCGTTGCTTTTGTAGAATTTGCCCGTTACAGTGAACAAATCACTTTCATAGATTATAATGGGTAAAAGTTCTTCTTAGATCTAGCTATAGATGGGCAGAACGTCTAACCTAATTCCTCATTGAACAGCTGGCATTAATAGAGTTGATTTTAGATTCAGGCTGTTAATCCATGCCAGAGTACTGGTGGCACACAAGTAATTAGCTTCTGCTGTGATTCAGGAAACACGTATGGGAGATATCTGGGCTTTGTTTTGTTAATGATTCCCAGATAGAGAGCACAAGTGGGTATAATGCAAGTACAGGCAAAATCAGCAATGAAATGCTGATTTGGCAAAGACAAACAGCCTGAATGTGGAACTTAATCAGATCTGTTACTCATGCCTACTATTCTATGGGGAATTGTGCTAGAAGTCATTACAAGAGAATGGTTAAAAGTAGCAGTAGGTGCTATACTCGTTTATTCGTTGTACCGATTGAAATTCTTCTTCAGACATTAGTTTTGTCACTACATTTTTACTGGTATGCAACAAAAAAGGGCAGATAATGCAACATACAAACAGTGCGAAACAAAGTAAGGTGTGTCCTTTTAGCTGAATGACTGAGTTAGGGTACTGAAGACAATCCCTCATCTCCTGCTGCGTAGTCAGGTGCAGTCTGAGATGATGTTGTCCAGTTTGTTATTGAGGGAGCCAGTGATGGCCAGTCCCCTGGAGTTAGTCTTTAGCCTAACATGGACACTAGACTGCTTGAAGCACTTCTGTTTCCTTTTGTACCATCAGATGCTGCTGCAGTGTTGGGCCAGGCCTTCACAACAAGCCATTTCTCATTTGGCGCACATGAGATAAATGACCTGAGAAATGCAAAAACAAGGGTAAATTTTTTCATGTGTGAAGAGACTATAAGTGCATGCCATAGGTGCATGTCTTGTTAATTAGTTTTTACTATTTTTTGCAATAATATAAAAAATAGCGCTTGTTAAATAAGATTCTTATTAAAAGTGAATAATAAGCCTCTGTTAACCTACAAAAATTAGGTTTACTTTTATATTTATTTATTTATTTATTTATTTATTTATTTATTTATTTTTATTTAGGCTATGTTAAAAGTAAAGGGGCCTTCTCTTTCAACAACCAGCAAATAAATTTCACATAAATGAACAACCAGAGAAGACCACTGATTATGTGTAGCCTTAGTGGTACAAGTACCTTTCCCCTTATTGTAAATTGCTATGAAAATCAGTGTGTATTTGTCACTGCCTCAGAGACAGTGTAAGCTCATGCTAGCTAAAGATTTGCTTAATCTCTGGTGCTAATTCCTCTTTTGGCACTCTCTCACAATTTTTACGAAGTGTGCAGGGAAAATGTTTATGGCTCAATTCAAAATGCATAATTTGACAGAAGACAGCATTAAATGCTGTTGTCTAGAGCTACAGTACTCATCATGGAAAAAATTCATTTTTAAATTCGATGTTTGATTATGACATGGTAAGAGAGACAGCAGAGGTGCATGAGTTTGACATAGCAGATTAAAAAAAAAACGAAAATAAAGTGCAGCTGTAATATGCCCCAAGATGTTCTTTATTCTACTTAAAGATATCTGCTTTAAGTACTGAATAACTAATTTGGTATCAGGATTAGCCCTTTCTCTTGAATCTAAAGATTATGAGGAGTCTAGTTTAACAATTTGATTTTACCAGCTACGTTTCTTATGCTTTTAGGCCTCTCTGCACATGTGGAAGAGCTGTTTGAAAAAGGCACAGCTGAAGTGGAAAACAGACTACTTTTTTTGTTGACTGTCAGCTCGACCCAAGGTTGGTCTTAAGCTTTAGTATCATATTGCAGCTGGCAGAGTATTTGAGGACGACTTGTATGCTTCATTCTATACTTCAGATACTTCTTGTAGGTTGTAAGAAAAGTGTATTCACTGACGCTGACATCTTGTTTGCCTTGCCAGTGTGAGATGAGGGATATACTGTATGTTTTGCTTTGATTTTGTATTCCAGTAAGGGTGACCTCAGATCAAGCGCATACCATCCTTTCCTCTCTGCTTTGTTCAGCTGATTAGATCACATACAAAACAGTGTGGACCAATCGGAGGTGAAATCGGAGATCCTCTCTCTATAACGGCTTCAGAGCATTTTAAGTCAAGGCTCCATCCTAAAGAATGGGCAGTCCAAGAGTATCCACAAAGAATAGAATGGTTCATCTAATCTTAACCAGATTTTAGCCCCTGTGATGCATAATTTACGACAGTCCTGTTTTTTAACGGTATTGACCCCTTTTGCCATTGACTACTATTGGGTTGTTTGGGGATTTGGAGACTGATCCTATTGATTGGCCAGGTCAGGCAGAGGGAATGTGCACTGGCCAAATTACTTGGGGTTGCTTGCGCTGCACTTCAGGGTTTCGACAGGCTTGACTTGGAGTGTGTTTTTAGCACTGTCCTCCCTAGGGTACAGGAGGAGGATACGCTTCTGTTGTTGTGAGCTGAGTGAGGCTGGTTAGAGAAAGCAAGGGCAGAGTAGGAGAGGAAAAGAGACCAACAGAGTTTACTTACTTCACTGTTCAGGAAGCAATAAAACACAGACACAAAAAAGCCCTGGAGAGAAAGAGGGAGAGAGAAATGTTGTAATGTTAACATGCCTTTATTGCGCAATGAGCTAACAAGCATACCATGTGGCAAATCTGAAAAGATGGTAACCAGAAAAGCAGTTTTACTTCAACTGGCAAACCTTTCCTTTATTATTTAGTGGATTACAGTGTTGGGTGCTGCCACCTTTTTGTAATACATTCAAAATGGTCTCCAAATATTACTGTGATTAAAAAAAAAAAGGTGTTTAATAATTAAACAAAAATTCAGTTCACTTACATGGTCACCAAATAAGTGAATGCCATGCACAATTTTCAATACATTAATTAAAAATTGTCAAAAAATCTAACAGTAGTTGGTAAGAAAGAAACCACATAGGAATGAAAAATAAACATCTCCTTAATATCTCTGTTGTTTCTCCTAGACAGCTTTAAGATTAGATGAAAAGACAAATGAGAATTTTGCATAAGTTTATTGCTGCTTAGATGATTCTCGAGAGAAAATAAACCCCAAGCCACTCAGTTCTTTTCTTGAGGTATAGTAGAGATCTCAATAGTCACATTGTGCTCAAATGTGCTATGATAATAACAGCCATGTTAATATGCAACTAAATTTTCATATCTCCTTTATCTCTCCTGTGTCTCATATCTCCTTTTTGTCTAATGATATTTTTTTCAAAGGAATTTTAAAACTGCTTTACTTTTTACTGAATTTTATTGCTAGCTAGGAGAGAAGAACTAGTTGACATTAGCTTAGCTAGCATGGTAACAGCTCTACTCACCACAGAACAAGTTTGATTCTGGGTAACTGAAGCATCACTGACACAAGTTTAGATGACACTGACTCAGATCTAGGGGGTGAAGTAAAGCAACTAGTGTACAGTACAAGTTTGATTTCAACTAACACAGGTGTAGACAATAAAAACTCACTGTTTTGCAGTGTTTGGAGCTGTAGCTTGTTATCTACAATCACGATAACTTAGTTAGCAGACCAGAAGTGCCAGAGACCACAATACAGGCTCAACTGCAGCTCACTGATGCTCAAATTATGCATGTTTAGAACATAAAGATTTATCTGACAACACAGACTGGTGTTTGAGTGACAGGCTAAATGGAATATGTTCTGTGGTGTGTGTGTGTGTGTGTGTAGCTATTAGTCTTCACTGAACCACTGTCCTGCCTAGTTTTCCTCAGGTATTTTGCATGTCTTGATGTAGTAGCACATCAAATGGAAAAGGGAACCCTAACCATTGCGATACAGCTGTAGGAACCCTTTGGCTCTGACATGGAGGTCTCTAAAGCTCTTAGAGGGCAGTTTTGGAGAGCATGTTGGCTATGACTGTTTTCAGGCAAATGCAGACCTAAAACATGACTGGGCAGAATGCGTTTATTGGCCACTTATTAGATAGTAATGGAACAGAAAGTTGACAGGCATTTCTAAACACAGTCACCATTTGGGGAAAAACATGATAAAACTACCAAAGTATACCTTATATTTACACTGGATTGTACTAATTACTATTTATTTGATCAGTGACCACTGTGTATTCTTGTAGTGTCAGACTTTCTTCTCCCTTAGTCACTCCTTGTTCATAGTCACTCCTAAAGTTTCATCCTTGCCCTTACCCGCTCAAAACAATGTCATACCCTAACCCTAACTTTTTTCCTTTTTGGGAAAGATACAAAATTGCTGTACCGTTGTAAACAGCTTTAAAGTCCTATACCACTCCAAAGTGAATTATTTCCTCTGGATGTGTCAAGTTAACCTTTTAAGGTATATTTACCAGGAACTTTCACAAAGAGAATCATAGTGACATTTCTGAACCCCCAAATTCTTGCTAATGCACTTTTACCAAAAAAAAAATAAAAATCTTCTATGTAATTCCTCTGAAGACAACAAATAATACATTTAAACACAATATAAACCACTTCTTATTCTGAAATGTACGTGTACATGTACGCTCCTAGTTTCTTAAGGGTAATAATTCATGAAATATTAGCATGGTCAGCAAGTAATAAATGCATCACTTTCACAGTTGAATACTGAGTGTGCTGCCTCTCCAGCGTCAACACGCTATGAGTTTCCACGATGGCAAAAGACCAACTACAAACAGTTTGTGTTGCCCTGACTTTTCATGAGGGTGAAAATAATGTGAGTGTTTAACTACAGTAAGTAATTTGCTTTACTGAAAGTAAACCTGGTATTATGGACACTGATTAAATTACAGATTGAATTATGCCACCAGTGAATGTCAACTTTTGTTTAGATGTAAATTTAATCTGTGTCTAGCAAAGTAGTTCTTCCTTTTTTCATGCGTGCAAACCTCTGACCCCACTCATTATCAGCATGATTTAATGCTCTTAAAGCCATCAATTATAGCTATAATTGGATGCTACTTACCTGGAAGGACTCGAGGAAAGAGTTAAAATAGATGAAAACAATCTGGGAGATCTCATCCTCTCCAGGGTTCACAAAGAACAGCATGTAGGTGATGCCTAGCAGTGGCAGCAGCACCAGAGTGGCCTTCACTGCTTTTCTGTAGGGGGAGGGGGCAGTGATGCAATTAGAAATTTCTGTTTTAATTCAATTGAGTTTCTGACTGGTCTGTTCAGATTTGAAGGTCAGTTTAGTCAATTAAAATAAAGCTTACATTTCTGTAGAATAAAATAGGTAATGAGATTCTTGCTGTATTTTGGTGCTATTCTGTTCAGCTACACTGAAGTAGCCACAGTTTTCCCAGGAGGATGGATGCGTAAGTCTTAGGTATTGGCATACTTATTCCCATATACTTCTGGCATAGTACTAAAAAAGCTTCAGTGTGTTGTTTATTAAAGCAACAAATCAGAAGGTGCTGTATTAGTGATTTAGCACTGTTAAGATTTTAAAATGTCTTAAACTTGCTTCTGTATCATCACTGCTGTGTGGGTAAGCAGAAATCCAGTCAGACTCATCTGTCTCCTTTTCTCACATAACATTACTGCATGTCTGTCCCACATTTTTTGTGATATAAAATAAGACACCTAAAGCTGATTCATTATGAGAAGATATTGCTTCTTGAAAGATAGCTATACAGCCCTTTATAGCAAAATTAGCCTACTTATTAACTCCTGTTTTTAAGAGTGGTGTTGAGCATGAGTGACTGTTCTCGATAAAAGAACACTTGATAAACACCAGTGAGTATTCAGACCTTCCTGTATGGGGCAGCCCTGCTTGGTGTTTTTTCATTATACTGACATGGATAAATAGTAAAGATTTTAAGAGGAATATATTGAAGTTTGTACCACAGAGTCACCAGATTCATTTAGCTTTGGAGATGTAGGAGACACAAAGCAATACAGGCAAAATTGGGGGATTCAACCGTACCATTGTTTAAGCCAGTCATGGTATTCATACGCTGCCTGCATACCCAGAGAGATTACATGTATTAAAACATATTGTTAACAGTGATATTTAAAGGAACTGAAGCCTGCATATTAGACTGTGTTGTTTGTGATCACTGGATCTTCAAATTAGATAGACAAATAGAAAATCATCTAAAGCAAACGAGCAAGTAAACAAAAAAAACTACCTGTGCAAAAGTGAATTGCGAAAATCTTAAAAGAGAAATGATGTTGCTGTGTGATGTAATTACTGCAAATGACAGTGCCTCATGTTGAAGTTGTCAAATGATTGTCAAGTTATACAGAAAGATCATCAGTGGGAGAGTGAAGGATGACAAACATTGATGTTCTTGACCAATGTTAATATGTTGAACGCCACACTGGCTGCAGACAACACTGAGACAAATTTAGTTTGAACACCATCATTACAGATCATTACAAAATGACTGACGGATACTCGCACTGTAGTTCAGCTCTTAAGAGTGGACATGGATATCTACAGTGTCGGCATGTGACTTTCTGTTGTACTGTAAATCCTCAGTATTCGTTTGAATTCAGCTCACTTTCATTCAGTTTTATATATAATATTGTACAATTGAATGGTGAACTGTAACGTCATTGAACTAGCTTCTGCCTTTTAGCGTATCTTATCACTACTGAATGGCTCACCTGTACTGAATGGTCTCTGAAGTGGTAGAGGCCCTCAGCTTTGTCATTAGGATTCTCACAATGTTGAAAAGAAAAATGAAATTGATCTGTAGAGAGGAGAAAGCATCATAGAAACAGTTATTGGTGAAAGAAATGGATGTTTAAGCAGCCATTTTGAGATTACTTAACAACAAGGCAAGTGTGGTGAATTAAGATTGCACAGTAAGTGGCTATAAGCTTGGATTACCTGTTAGCAACATTATTCGTGTAGCTCCAATAAAAGGTAAAGAAGCTGAACCATTGCCTTAAGCTACAGTTCAAACTGTTACACAGTGGTAGCGGAAGTTGCTGTAAAAACGTTGCTGTTTTGCTAAGCTTCATGAACACACTTCTCAGCTGGTTTCAAAAACGAATTTGGCTCACCAGAAGGACCAGTATCATGGGGCCTTGGTAGATGTAGTCAGTATAAACACCCGCTCGCTTCCCAAACCAGCACCTAAAGTTGCACAAAACACAGAAAAGGCAATGAAGTTCCACACTAGTAGGATATCTAAAATCACCTGAACCATCCCAGGGTCTGATACTGAGAAATCCAACTTGCTTCACTCAATTAACTTCTTTCATTCTTCAACAGCAATCAGTTAGGCTGGGCTAAATACCCTCATTTTTTCCATGCACTCAAAGTGGAGCTTAACAGAGGCTAAGAACAGAGATTTAGGGCAGGAGGGTGGAACTTAACCAAATCCAATACAGACAGTGATAACTGTAAAGGAAGATGACCTTGAAAAACACTTGAATTTAAATTGAAATGTGAGGGAAAACATGTTGGGAAAAACAAGCAATTTTGAAGAACAAAGAGAAGGAATAGAGAGAGAGAGCTGTCCCTTGGGCACAGATGTGGCTGCATTTGTTAATCCTACAGTTTCTGTTCAGCGTGCTGCATGATCAAGCCTCAGAAGATGAACGGAAGATGTTTGTGCAATATAGTGTTCGTCTGGGCAGTTTTCGTTCTTGGAACAGTCTCAGGAACATTTTGCAGGTTCCTCTAGTAACAAGCTAAACAAGACACATGCATGTGCATGTTGGGCTTTGGTGGGAGTTTTATGTGTGGCTGTGAGTCGAGTCCCCAGTGTGGAACAGATGAACTGGTTGCCTGGCAGTAAAGACTCTGGGAAGTAAAAACTTTGAAAGGTCTTGCATGCTGACTGTCAGCTTGAATTAGAGAACAGCTTTAAGTGCTAACAGAGTTTTGCTGATGGGGCTTGTGTGGGAAATTAATCCATGTGCCTCTTTAGCACTGTCTGGCCGAGCTTTCCAACAATAACGGAAGCTGCTACTTTGGCATGCCATTTGTAAGAGATTCTCAGCTTATTGTTTGTCTAATATTACATGAAAATGATGCACAGCAGTGTTTGTGTCAGCATGATGATTGCCCTTTCCCCTCTGCTGTGGGGTTAGGGAGATGTAGAGAATATTTAAACCTTAGAAGTCACAATTATGGCTGATGACACGTTTGTGTTTGGAAGCGAATATTTTATTACGATTAGTATTTGACGGTACAGTCCACTCATTTTTGCTGTTTGTCATTTCTTGACATCGAAATAGACAGGAACAATGATACAAGTGCAGATTCAAAACTGTTGATACAAATGTATTCAAATCCAGCTGCATAACTCACTTTATAATTAAATACAAAATTATGGATATTTTGACAGGTCACACTAGGAAAATGTTTTAACACTAAGTGCCATTAATAATTTATCGCATTACGTGTTATTAACGTTTTAACTTTGACACCACCAACTGCTTGGTTCAAATAGTATAGAAAAAAGATAATTACTTGACTTCTGAGGAATGATGAATTGATGACCTGAAGAATTTCTCTAGAGTGCATTTCACATCAAACAACTCAATTACTTGATCTATTGTGTTAATGCAGAAATTTTTGAAAAATCAGTGGCATTCCAATTACAGTGAACAGTGAACCTGAGTGTAATTATAGATAAACTACTAATAGACTGTGGAATAATTGGACTGGTGTTGTTGGTTGGAGCTGTGTGTGTGTGTGTGTGTGTGTGTGTGTGTGTGTTGAAGGAGAGAGAAAGAGAGAGGTGTAGAGACGAAAAGAAATCAAGCATGAAAGGTACTTACTTTTCATTGTCATAGTACAGCTTACCAATGGCCCATGCAACAATAATAGGAAATGGAATACCTGAGAGTAGAAAAACAAAACTAAATACCTCCCATTGTTGAAAGTAATGACATTTTTAACAATAAACAATGCCACTGATGTCATGAAAATACTGCTGCAGGGCCTAAGTACCTGCACTCTATGAAATGATCCGTAAATATAGCATCTAGTTGCGCAGTGTTAAGCAGAAAATCATCAGTAGTTAGTCACCGTTTTTTTTCCCCTGGTATCATATATTGAGTTTACACATGACTATTCTTTGTTTTCTGCTTGGGTAAATGCTAAAACCATTTTCATCTCTTACAGCTTTTATAAAACAGTTTATATATTTACATTTGTTTATTTCTGAATAAAAACATGTACTATAGGAATGTAAAAACTCATTCACTCATTTGGTTCATTAGTTAGTGTTGTAGGTGAACAGACACACTCACACCAGCCGATGCAAATGAACATCCACTTCCTCAGCTTATCAGTTGAGTAGGTCAGCACGATGGCTGTGTGCAGATAGCAACCCTCACCAAACATCCAGAAAAAGTTGGTCACATGGAAGTAATTATACGCTGCAGTGACCAGTCTACACCAGATCTGAGAGAAGGATAGAAAGACAATAACATGTTGATGCCTTTTTCCTGTTTTCTTTTTACAGCCTTTCTAAGTTGAGGTACAATTCCACATAGCAAGGATAGTGCTATTTGATGTATGAACTTTGAAGTTTACTCATTTATAATACAAACTATGGAAACAATACATTAAATCGTAGTTCTGCAGAGCTGTATCAGTAAGCTGTGTATAAATTGTGTGCAAGTATGTAATGAATGAGTATGAAAAGTGTTTTGTAAAATGTGTTTATAGATATTTATTCTTTATAGATACTGACTAATTAATACAGTCTTGTGCAAAAGTCATAGGTCATCCTTTATTTATCTTATTTCCAATCAAAATGGCAGTAAATACAGCAACTTATTCATCTTCAGGAGCGAACACAAACACGTTTAACAAATTTACACAGAAGCTCCAACAATTAAATATGATATTTAATTTTTTTCAATTTAGCATGACCACTTTTGCCTTTATTACAGCCTCCATTCTTTTTGGGAGGCTCACTTTAAATTTTTCAGAAATCTGCAGGCATATTTTTCCATACCTCCAAAATTCAGTCTTAGGTTGTATTTTCTGCTTTTCACTTTACAAGTAATCCCAAACACTTTCAATGATGTTGAGGTCTGGACTCAAGTGTGGCCAGTCCATTGTTCAGAGAACACAGCAGCATCTCTATTTGCTCTGCAGTTTTCTTTGTTTTCTTTTTTCCATTTTCTTTTCTCAGTAACAGCTTCTTGACAGCTATACATCCTCTCAGACTTGGTGTTGATCTGAAGCAAGGGAGGAGCATGATTTTCTGCTCGCTCTTGAAGGCTTTGGTACTGTTTATCTGACAGACTTGGTGGTCTACCAGGTCTTGCACAGCTCCTGTTTTTACTTTTTCTTCTTCCTTATGCTAGTGGATTATTGTATATCTAGTCTCCTCAAAAATATCTCCAGAAAAATTAATAATTTGTACTGAAAATAAACTGGAAATTAAAAAAACGTAGAGTGGACTCTAAGTTTACCTTTGCACTGTACTGTAAATGCTTTAGTAGTCTGTCCATTCTAAGATAATCTGTCTGGCATTTACATGATAAAAATTGACAGGAACATAATGTAATCTGCAAAGATTCACCCATTACTTTTTAATGAGATCAATTTCATAGTGTTTTTATTTAGTTTTGCGAATTATGTAAATGAGTAATTATTCATTCTTCTGACAGCTGTTAAGAGTGTGGATTATTCTCAGTTGACCAAAACAGTCAAAGAGCCACAGTGACACGTGTGAAGATGAATAACTGAAAGGCCAGACCTGGCTAATGGATCAAACTGTCCTGGCAGTTTCTTTAGAGATGTATGTTGGGAGGTGTTGCCTTGGGGGCTGTGTTTAAAGTGATTCTTTATAAAAGGCCACCAGTATGTCTGCATACTGACTTAACTAGAACCTTGTTGCTTGGCTAATAAGAAGAAAGGATTCAAATCTTAACAAAAGTCTTAACTGGCTCCATCTAATGAAAAGCATTAGCTTTCTGTGCTTGTTTGTCCAGTTCACAGAAATTAAATTATGCTTGAAGCATTACTAAGGCACTGAATTCCAAACTCATCTTGACTTAATCCTGCGCTTTTACCGCAAATTGGAAGCAGACTGCGGCATTGTGTATAACAGCTTTCAGAGCCATTCTAAACTGAATGAAGCAAAGCAAATGTCATCCTTTAAGTTAGTACCATTGCCCCTCCTCACATGGACTGTGGAATAGGGCTAAAGAACCATCACTCACATTTCATTGTATAAAGTCCATATATATTTTTTTTTACATAGATTTTGAATGTAATTTAACAAGTTTTACAGTACTGTACAGAAGTCAGACACCACCTTTAATGTACTTAGTTTCCAGTCAAAATGCCATTAACTACAAGTTATTCATGTTACAGGAGGTTTGAGGAGATATAGGATAATCCACTCGCATGAGGAAGGGAGAAATCAAAGAAGGAAAAAAGTAAAAAATAAATAAATAAGCAAACAAAAAACAGGAGTTTCCGAAAATTACTGAAAGATACAGAGAGAATGGGACTCCTAGCGACCATGCATGAGGAGAAAATCAGGCTCCACTTTTGCTTCAGATCCACTGTGAGAAGACATCTCAATGCTATGTGTCTTAAAGGATGTGAAGCTGTCAAGAAACTGTTACCAAGAAAAGGAAATACAGAACATCATTTGTAAATCAAATAAAGAAGCTGCTTATGTTCTCGGAACAATGGACTGGCTGCCACAGAGCCCAGACCTCAACATCAGTCAGTGTGTTTAGGATTACTTGGGTCATGGGAAGCTTAAAATGCAACGAAGTTCTAAGACTGAACTTTCGAGGTGGGGAAATATCCCTGCAGATTTCTTTGAAAAACTAAAGTATCCCTGTAAGAAAGGAAGCTAAAATAAAGGCAAAGGGGGGATGCACTAAATACTCAATGTGGTATTTGGTTGTTGAGACTTTTGTCTAATTTTCTGTTTAATATTTTCTCTGCTACTGATCCTGAAAACTGGAAAAAATGTAAATAATGGTTGTTTTGGCTGGAATTTAAACAAATTAAGTTGTCTGACTTCTGCACAGTACTGCAGGCTTACTTGGTCTACCTATGTCACAATCAAGAAAATAAAAATAGACTTTTATTAAATGAAGAAACATCAAGCAATGAGTGACTGCTATGAAACAAAAGAGTGAAGCATTTAAAAACGAGAACATGATTATTGCCCACCCTTATCAGAAATATGTTCTGCTCTGCATGCCTTCACAGGTCTTGTCTCATGTCTGACCTGAAGCATCATCATAAAGCTTAAGAGTAACTAAAATTACTTTAATTACAGGGACATGAAGGCTTTTATCGGCTTCTTACAGCTCCTGGATAACATAAACGTTCAAGAGCTCTCAGCTGCAATTTAGCGCAGGAAGCTGTTTTAAATGGAATTTACATGCACTCTAGTTACCTCTGACTCTGTCTAGTGACAGTCCACAGAAGAATCCTTTTTACATGGCGGCCTCCTTGAAATATAATAAACAGGCACTTCAGAGGTTTTCTGCTTGAGGATTTGGTTTCAAACATTAC